AGGTAGCCGGCGTGGGTTAGATCCAAGCCGCGGGGGGAGGGAGAAAACCGGATAATCCGTTCCAATTGGAACGGATTAACCGGTTTTCAATGCATTCCTACGGGAAACGGTGCTTCACATAACGATGTTTTCACATAATGGTTTTTTTCGGAACCAATTAACATCGTTATGCGAGGCACCACTGTACTAGTGAATATATAACCATGGAATCCTGCTGTCAAACAACTTCACTTGTCTAGCACAGGCAGTTCCTTGTTTAACACTGGGGCATGGGGAAATTCCTCAGAACAGAAGTTCTATGTTGAAAAATGTTATTCCAGTCACTTACAACAAATGAATCAAAATTGTAAGATTTGGGAGAATAACCAAACCCCTTGATAAGTGGGAGTTTATTTGTTAGTTTTATTTGTATGCCGCATTTCTCCCAACAAGGGATCCAAAGCAGCTCACAATATTAAAGTTGACACAATTTAAAAACATAATAAATTAAATATTAAAAGATAAATTAAGCAATATATGATTTAAAATATAATTAAAAGATTAAAACAGGAAAACATAAAAAAGATTAAAATTTCTGCTGAAATGGGGTTCATGGATTCAGTTATAATTGTTAAAAGCCTGTCTGAAGAGATGGGTGTTTAGCTTTTTTCGAAAGGATAACATAGAAAAGGCCATCCTGATCTCTCGAGGGAGAGTGTTCCATAGCCTGGGAGCTGCCATAGAGAAGGCCCTCTCCTGTGTCCCCATCAGCTGTGCTTGTGCTGGCAATGGGACCAAGAGGAGGGCCTCCTCTGCTGATTTTAATCACAGAGAAGGCACATACAGGGAGATATGGGCCTTCAGGTAGCGTGGACCCAAGCTGTATAGGGTTTTATAGGTAATGACCATCACTTTGAATTGGGCCTGGAAACGGACTGGTAGCCAGCGCAGTTCTCGTAATAGGTGTGTTATATGCTCCCTGACCACAGTCAGTTGTGGGCAGAAGCTCTTTTGGAAATGGTGCAGATACTTCCAATTTAGCTCTATACATATGCAACACTTACAGCAAAATCCTAGGCATGTTTAACTCAAAATAAATCTCAATTAGTTTAATGGAGCTTTCTCCTCAGTAAGAGATTATAGCCTTAGTAGCCCCAAAGGGAATGTAAAAAAACTCATCTACATCACTGGGTCCCCAGTAAGTACATGATAATGTATTTCACTGTCTACTTGAAGATAAATTAAGTACCATGCATTAGCTTCAGAGTGAGTCATGCTCAGTATGGGCAACAGGTCTTATGTCAGTGAAGATTAACTTGTCCTGTTGATTTCAGTGGATCTAATATAAATTACTAAGTCTAGATTCAGCCCTATGTAAATGGAAGCTGTAATATGGAAGCGGATACGGGAGACTTTGAATGGAAGTGGATAAGGGAGATCTTGACTACAGCAATGCTTAAGTACACATCAGCTGAAATGCTGTTGCTTAGTACAATACGCCACACTAGAGTAAGACTACTGAATCAGTGGGGATTTGGTAAGTGAGCTCTTCCACAGGTCCCACAGATTTAATTTGGCCCATGTATAATATTTTAACCCACATTTCTCCTTAAAAAGAACCCAAAGTGGCTTACATCATTAAAAGAAAATACAGCGGACCCTTGACTTACAGACGGCTTGACTTACAGACTTTTTGACTTGAGAACCGCCTTCCAATACGGATTAAGTTCTCAAGTCAAGACCCCACTGTATTTAAAGCTAAAAGCAGTAAGTATATAAATACTAAAAAGGATCAAACAAATACTACAGTAAAAATGGTAAACAAAAGCAACACCAAAAAATGCATTCAAAGCAGTAAGGCACAACAAGCCTTTAAAAAACCCCACTCAGCCAGTCAATCAGCCAGCTAGTAAGGGAAAACTTGCCTGAAGAGAAAGGATTTTAGCCATCGTTTCAGCCACAGAACACAAGGTCAGTGCAATAATAGATTAATATATTTGAAGATAGCTAGATATCCAGGGTATCTATTCATCAAGTACGCTCCTGGAGAGCGCACTTTCTATGCTTTTAGGCTCTCTTGGCCTAATGAAATCAAAGTTACTTATGTAATACATAGAATTTACAAAAAAAAGCATACCTGCCTTCAGCCATATAAAGTGTGCTAATAATGTATTTTAGAACTCAGTTTCTTCATTAGTAAATAAGTCTTTATTTCAATTGCCTTTGACAGAAAATTAGCAAACCTTCACATGATTTTAAAGAAAAAAATACAGTCTAGGGCTACTTTCTTAAGGACTATGCCTTAATTCGAGCTCCCTTTAGGACAGATACAAATGCACACCTTTATCGCATCCAAAATAAAGATACAAAAGTATAAGCTAAGCAAATATGTTTTCATTATTGGCATCAGTAGCATTGGTTATCACTATCAAATATCCCCATACATAAAGTGCTCAGAGCTGTGGGAAGAAATGTATGCTAGATGTAAAAACTGAAATGTTAATGCTGTGATGCTGTGTAGCGGTTGTACAAAAGGAGCCAATAAACAGAATGTCCTGGTTACAATGGAACATACCGATCTAACTGAACATCCTTGTTGATACTATGCTTTTTTAAAATCAGACGTTCTGGTTTTCTTCATTGCACATTTCAAGTAGATGCTCAGAAAGCATTTTGTTCAGATGGCTCATCTGCTTCTTGTCTGCTCCACAATTATGGCTGAAGGGGTTTCTCCATCAGCTGTAGTCCAAGCTTGCCCACCATTAATAGGCTGTTTAAATACAAATGTTTCTTTGTTTATTCACCCATCCATCCATCCGTTCATTCATTCAATTTGTATCCCACTCCAATTAATGCTGAGGCACTACTCTGGACGATTACAACAAGTATAATAGAGAATAAAAATAAAGATAATAACATTAAGAATGTAAATCAATAATGATAGAAACTTAGATGGACTTTCATAATACTGACCTGAAGTTAACTGAAATGCACACAACTTCCTCATTTCCTTAAAATAAACAACAGTTCTGAATGTAACAGCTGTAGAACAAGAGTAGAAACACATACCTGGCACCAGCAATTAACCCAGCAGGCATGAATTTCTTGGAGTTATAGAATCTCATTCCCATCACACCAGTCAAAGTTCCAGATGCAACTATGAAGGGAAAATCACAATGAATGAGTGCTGTAAGGCTTAGAATAGGCAGGAACTTTATGTATTTATATCCCATCTTTGTACTAAAAGAGCCCATCAAAGCTTACATGGGGTTCCTGCATGCTGTTCCATCCAGATGCTAGCTAGATTTACCTTTTGCAAGGTGGCTGCATCATATGCCTTTAGAGTGTGCAGCACTACCTTTGCAGCCAGAGATATGGAATCATTTGTTATAAGTCTTCACATCTTGTAATGTTTTGATCACTACTATGTTTAACTATTAAATTTCAATGTACAACGCAATTCACCCAAAACAGGTAAGTTTGGACTCAGAAAACAGGATCAGGACTGCTGGCAGCAATTCTCAGATACAAAAATCATCTCCCCTATTCTGAGGCTTCCCCAGGTCAAAGAAGAGCCTTGGGGAGACTCAAAACAAACCAGAGAGGATGGGATAGGAAATTTTAAATTAATGATCCATATCTGTAGCTGATGACATAACCACCATATCCACCAAGAGGACATCAGCTACTGTTTGTGTTGTACATACTTGTTTTTGCAACTGATTTAATGACCAGTATACAAGTAGATACATAATTACCACCTCGGTGGGAAGGTAAATGGCGTTCCGTGTCTAGTCATGCTAGCCACGTGACCACGGAGGATTGTCTGTAGACAAAACGCTAGCTCTATGGGTTGGAAACGGAGATGAGCACTGCCACCTAGAGTCGGACACGACTGGACAAATTATCAAGGGGAACCTTTACCTTTCCCATTGCTAGTCCCAACCAAAGCAGACCCCCCTTGACATAATAGGATTGACTTAACACTCAGCAGTTGATTCAGTGGGTCTGCCCAACATATGTTGGGACTAGCAATAGGATACAGGCTATTATTGACTGACAATAAGCCTATGAGTTGGGGAAGGGGTAGTGGGAGAAGGAATCATATTTTCTCTCCAAGATATCTAAATAAAATTTGTGTGTGCGTGCATATGTCTAAAATATATTAGAAAAGAACATACTCAGAGAAAGCCACACATTTTTGGGGTCTTGAGACTGCTGATATGCCCCCAGGCCTGCTAAGCTGCCAAACGCGAGACCAGCCACAAGGGAGGGAACACTACCTGAATTCAAAGAGCAAGAATGCACTTGTTAGAAGATGAAAGCGTAAGCCTGATTAGCAGCAACAGCAATACTTCCAACCCCTCTTATCTCTCCGCTATTCAGCAGCCTACTAAAGAGGGGAAGGTAAAAAACATATGTTGGGAGTCCACCATTCCATTTGTATCTACAGTTCATCCTACCAACTGTCAAGGAATTCCCTGTAAGCTCACAAAACAGCAGGATTTTAAAGACCTAAATAAGTAGAAAAGCAGCCCATTTGCTCCTATTCTTCTCAAGGCAGATAACTGAATTACTATTCAGTCTTGACCCCCAAAGCTGCTAGAACGCAAGACAGCAGCAATTTGTATTAAAGCAAGAACACAGCTGGCACGGTGACATCATTTCAGGCGAGAATGCCATTGTTAAAGCTACAAAACAGCTTTCCTCGTGCAGAAAGAAAGGGACAAGAAAAAAGGGAAATTAAGTTTAAAAGAATGAACATGACTATATGTGTAATGAATGGCTGTGTGGAAACATACTAGCCTCAAGCAGAGTTCTTCAACAAGCTATATGAATATTTGTGCTTCCTTTGTATGGCTCCCTTTTAATGGTATGTCCTAAAAAAGAGAGCCATGCTGGATCCGACTAAAGGTCTATCCTGGGAGAAGAGCCAGCCTGTGTAACCTTGGGCAAGCTATGCAGCCCCAGAGATCCCCTGAATAGGAAACCATTTCAGAGTACACTTAGAAAACCCTGAAAAGTATTGCCATAAAATCTTGATGGGACATAATTAATTAATTAGTCTGTTCCCCAGTAGACAACCAGATATTTGTGAGAATCAAACAAGCAGGATATTTTTTCAGTAAGTAAAAGTTTTATTGCGTAGCTAAAAACCTCTACAACATAATAAAAACAAATCTGATAATATAGAACAAACAAGTTAGTAAGATAAAAAAATTAGCTTTTCCTATCTGCTAATGCAAATAGAGAAACACCCATTGACACACAATTACTTCTATCCAACCAGAAAAAATGAGCAAACTCAATGGAGGTAACAAAGTTCCTCCTTGCAGCAAACCCAGACAGAGATTTCACAGGAAGCTCTCGTATCAAGGACAAAGGGTGAAATACTGAACAATATCCTCTACAACGTTTCTGCAGCATTTTTGTCTTGCTTGCCCTACATCCTTTGCTTAATAAGGTCTGTGACTCATGGAAACAAAAGTGCTGAGACTGCCATATTGCTGACATCTACACTGTTTGGCGGCCTTGTTGTCTAAGATCAACTGGAGCATCCTCAAGACATTCTAAAAATGATGACGACAATACAAAGTGCTAATGAGTAGACAAAGAATGTATTATGAACACAGGTGGAAAATAATAAGAAGGCATAGAGAAAATCATAGCATGATACCTGCTTTTGCATATCCAACTATTCCACCTGAAGCCACCAGTGCTGCATAACTATAGTCAAGCCAGTTCACAGTCATTCTGGAACACAAATAGATATATACACACAGTATTATGCAAATACCAAATTAAAAAACAGCAATTGTTTTAATAATTCAGATTTGTTTTTTCAGGTGAGCAAATGGTTATTAGAATTATAAGCCTGTAAAAATAGAGCAGGGCTCTAATGCTTAATTAGTTGAGATGCAATGGTTAAGAAGAGCACTCACAACTGTTGTAGTTACATTTTGAAAAGACTCTTCCTCTGATAGTTAGGAAATGACACCCTAAAACAAAAGAAGATTTGCATTCAAACCTCAATAAACTGATTGAAAAGATGGAACACCACTCCAGGGTTAGGCCATCAAAAGACAATCACACCACCTGGAATCTCTACATGTGTTTAACTGATGCGAGCCATCAACACTATTCTCCTCTGTATTTTATTCTGTTCACACATGCTCATCACTCAGGAATGCAAATATTCATTGGTCAGAGCCCTATTATGATGCCTGCATATGTCAGTCCACTGGCATAAAGGTCAGTCCTGACTTGCTGTAAATTAAGAAGTCAGTGTAGGTGCACATTCTTACATATCATATAACTTGGCACATGACAACAAATGCCTATGCTGGTTTCTTAACTTGCAGTGATGTACTGCTAAAATTCACAACAATGGACCTAATGGTGGCATAATTTTTTCCACTGTATTCTGGCCACAGAGCTCATCACTTGATGTTGCAAAGTGTTATCACAGAGCACAACAGACATTTCTTCTCACAAATATAGTGAATTCACACATCATGTCACATAGCAAGTGCTATGAGATCAAGTGAGGTATGAAATTGCCAAGCTACAAAGAAAAGTTTTTTTCCTTTACATCAGGGCTACAGAAACAGACTACCTACACAAGACGGCAGTGTGGTTCCCAACCTTGGGTCCCCAGATGTTTATGGCCTAAAACTCCCAGAAGCTTTCACCACTACCTGTGCTGGCCAGGATTTCAGGGGGTTGTAGTCCAAGAACATCTGGAATTCAAGGTTAGGAACCACTGCGCTATGTCACATGGCGCATACTCCCTGTTATGCTGGACGTACAAATATTTTGTTGAACTGTTCAGCTTAGCACAGGTCTGCAGGCCACATGTAGTCCTTCAGGGCCCTGGGACCCAGCAGCAATTCCCCAGAAATTAAAAAGTAAAATTTGGCCCAGAAATGCTGCTTGGAGCTCAAGGGATCAAGACAGGAAAATCTGACAAGTAGGAAGGCAGCGTCCCTGCCTCTCATTAACCCATCCCCCAAATGAAATTTGTTTTGCCCACTTGAGAATGTACAGGTGGTATGGGTGCAGCCCATCAAGGTCCTGGGAGAGACGTTATAAACTCTTTCCTGCAACATGCAATAGGCACTGAACAATCATTTCCTTTCTACTTACTTTGACTGTGGTCTCACCTATTTGCTTGCTTAGGAGCACGTAGGCTGTTTTGCTTCCAGAATTACACCCAGGAAGACCTCCTGATGTGTGCGCTGCTCTCCTCTGTTCTCTTATGCAGGCAACGTTACTGTGGGTGAGGTGGGGAACAGAAGGGTCTCAGGAGGAAATCTAGATGTACCATGTATTGAGTGGGCAAAGTGCACAACAATTTAAGAAACAATGTCTCTGCAACATTAACACTTTATGTTTTCGGGTACCTCAGTGGTTTAGGCATCAGAAGTTGGGAGTTCAATTCTCCACGGTGCCTCCTTGAGAGGGGCTGGACTCCATGATCCATAGTGTCCCCTCTAGCTCTGAAGTTCTAAGATTATTATTGTCCTTGGGCTTGTGGGTCATCTTGGGATACACCCCTTTTCCTTGAGTGACCTCATGTTGTGTTCAAACATCAGCATTGGCAGCTCATTTCTCAAGGTATTTAGGCTGGCAGACATGAAGGATAAGGCCTTCTTAGCTGTGCCCCCCCGACCCTTCCTGAATCTGATTTCAGTTCGCTTCAGGACCTGGCCCTGCCATTCGGCTACTTGAGATCATAGAACCATAGAAAAGTGGAGTTGGAAGGGGCCTACAAGACCATCAAGTCCAAGCCCCTGCTCAATGCAGGAATACAATCAAAGGATATCTGCCAGGTGATTATTTAAGTTTTTCTTGAATGCCTCCAGTATTGGAGCACTCACCAACTCCCGAGGTAACTGGTTCCACTGTCATACTGCTCTAACAGGAGGTTTTTCCTGATATTCAACCAATGGAGCAGCTAGTAGTGCCAACTCACTGATGTCAAGGGGCATGTGTAGTTTGCAAAGTTAGCCAAATTACTGAGGAAGAAAAATCTGACAAATAAGTGGGAATCTAATGATAAACAAGACCAAAATTGTCTTGCCCAGGTTGTGCCCTTCCATGATAACCAAGATGGACTAGGGGGTGCCTCACCTTGCGTAATTTTTTAAAATTACTTTCAATAGATAAATAAAATAATACACGTATTTGGTACTCTGAAGTAGAATGCAAATGGAAGGAATGAATAAGCTTAATTGAAGAGAAATATAAACAGTACAGAGGAAACAATAGATTACTGTATGTCCCTAATTGTGGACTGAAGAGAAAATCATATGAATACGAATCCATTTTAACTTTTCAGACCCCCAAAGAGACACCAGAGGGCACCAAACAGCAAGAGCAGTATGGTTGTTATGGGTTTTTCGGGCATGTTAGTAGTCCAGACTAACTTCAGCCTTGTGAGCTGAGCTTGTTGCTCTAAATGGGTTAAATCCTACCGACACATTAAAATCATCATAAATAATTTAGAGGCACATAGCAAAGGCCAAACGACTCAGGATCAAGGGGTAGGCACAACTAATTTGGATTAAGTGATAGTAAATGTGTAGCCTGCATAATTAACTTGCGAACCGCCCAGAGAGTGCTTGAAGCACTATGGGGCGGTATATAAGCAGCACGCTTTGCTTTTGCTTTAAATCACCGCCTCACCAATCCACAACTTCCTCTCAATGTTATATTGTTATTACTATTATTATTATTTAAAAAAGAAGAAATTCGAAAATCCTAGCCATCGGCGAGCTAGACAGAGACGCTCCCCTGGAATATGCCCTCACTCAGATGTCACAGGAGAAAATTCGACCGGGGCAAAGCACCGCTTCTTTGCATTCTTCTCTGTACTGGGAAAGGCTGCATCTGTTGAACAGCCGCCCGTCGCGCTGCCGTTAAAGGTAGAGGGCCTCCATTAATTAACCTCTGGGATAGGAGCAGGCCACTTGGGGCTCCCCAGAGGGTGTTGGCTGTACAGTATTGTCCACCCCCGGGCTCAGAAAGAAGGCAACGAAACGAGCTCCTTTCCCCACCCTCCCTGTTTGCACTGGGTTTGCTGGGAAAGGTTGCCACCCCTCTCCCCAAAGCAAACCTGCGCTGAGTCAGTCGTCCTGGATTTGAACCGCAAACCTACAAGGCACAAAGTGGGTCTCTCTCTCTCTCTCTCAAGCGCACAGGGCAGGCGCTGACCTTTCCGCCAAGGTGACCCACGCGGGGAGGGGGGAGTGCCCGGAAACCCCCGTGATCACCGAAGAGCCACGTTCTAAAGCCGATCGACCGGATCCCTCCCGCGGTTGGTCGCAAGCGTGGAGCTGGCAAGGGAGGACGACCGTCAAAGCGCCCGGAGTTTGCCTAATAAAGAAACCAAGCGGGACGAGCGGCGCTTTGCTCGGAGTTCCCGCCGGCGGAGTAGCCTTGGGAAGCCGGCTCGGCCGGCGGCGACCCGTAGAAGCCGCGGAGCTGGAAGTCCGTCCCATCGAAAGCAATGGCGTGTCTGGTCGCAAGCGTGGAGCTGGCAAGGGAGGACGACCGTCAAAGCGCCCGGAGTTTGCCTAATAAAGAAACCAAGCGGGACGAGCGGCGCTTTGCTCGGAGTTCCCGCCGGCGGAGTAGCCTTGGGAAGCCGGCTCGGCCGGCGGCGACCCGTAGAAGCCGCGGAGCTGGAAGTCCGTCCCATCGAAAGCAATGGCGTGTCTCTGGCGGGGAGGGGGGTGTTCTGGAGGTTACACTCAAAAAAAGTGGAGGCTGGGATCTAGATTTAGACACTTGTTTAGACACTGACCAATAGCCTGTTTTATTTTTTTTTAACTATCATGGATATGAATTGAAGCAATTGTCCAATTTAAACTTGAGGAAATCACATTGAGCGGGCTGGATAGCTCAGTGGTTTCGGTCTCGGAGAGAGGCAGTTCAGTCGCCACCCCACCCCGTGCCTCCTGGGAGAAGAGCCAGCCTGTGTGACCCTGGGCCAGCTGCAGAAGAAGGGATGTGGTAAACCATGTCTGAGTATTTATTCTCTACTCGGAAAACCCTGGAAAAGGCCGCCGCCGTAACTCAGAACTGACTTGATGGCATACAGCCTTCTGGGAGACCACTCGGGCCATGTCGCTTGCCCAAGACCTCGCAGGCTGGCTCTTCACCTGGGAAGCACGGTGGGGAATTGTTTCCGATCTCTAGCTAACCCTTTGAGCTATCCAGCCATTTAAAGACATCAACAGAAGTTTACAAAGTGGAGTGAGGTACAACATACCTTTCTGGGAGTTAATTATCTTTTCAAATGCATTTTTTATTGATTTCCTGACAGATACTTGAAGGAAGAGAACAGAGTTGGCAACCCAGCCTTTTCTTTATGGACGGGACACTTTATGGACGGGACACACACACTCACACTCACACTCACACTCACACACACACACACACACACACACACACACACACACACTAACCGAAAACCATTAAAGCTGCTCCCTTTGCTAGGAAACAATAGCGCAATTAAATGTAAGGATCCTGTTAGCTAAAAGCCTTTAGTCCATGGTATGTGCTTCTCTGCTATTGCAGATAATATACCCACAGGATTAAAAAAAAAAATAGATAATTTGTCCCATGTGAATCTAAGTGGGGCGGGGGGGGAAAGGGGGGGGCTGCCAAATACAATAGGATGACATTTCCTATAGTTTGTAGCCAAGGAGAAGGAACAATGGAAAATGTTCTACCAGATTTAAATATACTGGCATGTGACAATTCCAGCAATACTCCCTCCACTCCATTGGAAATACCCCTGAATCTAGTCATTCACTTCTTTCATGATCCTCTTCCTCCTGATATGCTCCTCCCCCCCTCTCTCACACACAAAAACATATGTGCCGCATCCGAATCACTCACTCACTCGCTTGCTCACACCTCTCCATTCTCCCTTTCCAAACAAAGGTTGCCCCACAGGCCTCCTTCATCATTCTCGTTGTTGTCCACAGCCCAGTCCCTCCGAGCGCTAGCCTTTCTGCTTCCTCATGTCAGGTTGTTCCCAGTCCTCTTGCAGTCTTCTGGCTTCCCCATCCCACGTCATCCAATTTCTCTGGTCCATCAGCACAGCGCTCTCATGTCTGGCTTGCTGCCATCACCAAGTCTCCCCACTTACCAGGCGGAAGCAATGGAGGGGGGATCTATTTATCCATCTGTCCATCCTTCCTGAGGCTTGCAAGCCGTTCAAGGGAAGCACTAGAATCAGTCTGCCTGCCAGCCAGCCAGCATCTTCTTTCATGCAGATATCCTCAGGGATTCATGGGAGTTGGGAGGCCACTTTGAAGGCCTCTCAGCCTCTCAATCCAAATCCAGAAATTCTCCTTGATATGGAATCAGGGGAATGGGTCCAATTTCTGCAAACAAAACAAGCAAAAACTACCACCCAGCCTCCTCTATGCCCTCCAAAGTACCTTTGGGATTAATGAAAGCAAAAGGCGGAGGCAAGAAAACCACATTTCACAATAGGGGCACAGCATGGCTGCTTTTAACTTCTAAATAAGCTCTCCTTTTTGTGCAAATATTGTTGCTGAAAATAGTCATTGGCATTGCCTCTACACCATGAGTAAAGAATTAATAACCAAAAGTTCTGCTTACATAGTTTGTGACACTTGCTGCAGCTAATCAATGAAATGCTGAGACACAGCTTGGTCACGTGCCTGACAGTGCAACTGAAATGTGCCCTGACACCTTGTCAAGCAGTTGCAGCAAGTTATGCAAACCTGCAAACACCACTAGAATTCCAACCAGCCTCTTTTGTGCAAACTAGTCCTTCAGACTCTCCCTGCCTCTTGTGACTTGGCCTACAGCCTCTTTCTTCCCTCTGGACAGAAGAAAGCTGGTTGGTGGAGGAAAAAGAGAGCACTTTACTTCTCCCCAAATACCCCACTGTGTTGTTTGTAGCTAGGAAGACATTAAGCCCAGTCTACCCATTGCCACCCCTGCAAACTTGGAAAAAGCCTCCCATTGGCTTTAAGGTCTCTCTCTGTGTGCCTTTTCAAATCAAGTCCCTAAGGAGAATGAGAGGAGGATTAGATGTGTGTGATATGTGAGAACCAAAGTTTGTGTAAGGGTGTTCATTGTTGTATATGGAGCAACTACTGGCATGCACCCTCTCCCCAAAGGCCATTCATAAAGGAGTTCAACACCCCCAGCCAAAAAAGGCTCTGGCCCTTGGGTCTACATTGTCAAGCAGCTTTGCAGGGTTTCGTGCCAGTCTTACTGGACATGCGGTGGACGGAAGTTGGCACTTTCCACAGAGATGAATATGTTGTCTAAAGGCAGACTACAGGAGAAAGCAAGAAACTCTCTGAGGGTGTTTCGTCTTGTTTGATCAGAGTAGTTTGAGCCAAGTATTGTTCTCCGGATTCCAGCCTCGGAACATCCATTAAGAGTTCCTTCCACTCCAATGAATTGTGAAATGAGAGAGAAGAAAGATATGGGCTTCAGACCGCTCAGCTAGGTAACATTGTCACTTAGGTACTCAATCAGCTCATCTTTTTGGGCAAGGCTACGAGAGAGAGAGAGAGAGGAACACCCCCCCCCCAGTGTGCCTGTTCTTTAACAGCAGATTGAGCTGCAAGGACTTATCCAGAGAACTTCCATCTTGTGAAAGTAAACATCTTTGCTCATTGCTAAACAGGACTCCTGTAAATAGAGAGGCAGGTACTGGAATGATTTCGAAGAGCAAGCACCCTAGGGCATGGTGGATTTCCCTGGGTATACAGACTAGTGGCCAGCCTTCTGCTGTAACCATAGATGCAGTGTTTTTGCTGGAAACAACATATTCTGTTGAAGTGAGGCTTTTAACAGGCAAGAACCATTGTGGTATAGAGGTCAGAGTGATGTATTTATGAGGGGGTGCTGATAAGTATTGAGCCTTTCCCAGAACAAAAAGAGCTAAGAAGCTATAAATTGCAGGGTGTATTGGCTAATTTGTCTGTTATGCAATGGTGCAAAAATCAACTACTTATGATTTTAAGTTATCTTTCATGTTCAGGTCCAAAGTGAATATGGCAGCACCTCCAGAAAAGTTCAGTGTGAAAGAGCATAGGACCATAATCAAGTTCCTTTTTCTCAAAGGGAAAGGTGCAAAGCAGATCCATGATGAAATGTCACAAACTATGGGTGACAGTGGCCCTTCATATGTGACAGTTAAACATTGGCTTGTCAATTTTAAAACTGTCCATTCTGGTGCTGAAAGTGAGAAATCCAGTGGAAGGCCTGTTTCTGTCTCTGTGCCTGCAAATGTGAAAGCCATCCATGACATGATCATGGAGGATCGCCGAATATCAGCCAAACATATTGATATATATCTGAGAATATCATGTGAGAGAGTTGGTGCCATTATCCACAATGACTTGGAAATGAGAAAGCTGGCAGCAAAGTGGATCCCCAAACTTTTGACAACCGAATACAAGAGGAAACGTGTGGAGTCATCGGTGGCTGTTTTGGAACATTTTGCAAGAAATGAGTCAGATTTCCTGGGCAGACTGGTAACTGGTGATGAAACATGGATCTACTGTCATGATCCCGAGACAAAGGAACAGTCTAAGGAATGGAGGCACAGTGGTTCCCCGAGGCCAAAGAAGTTCCGAGTGCAAAGGTCAGTGCAGAAGCAAATGGCAGCAGTTTTTTGGGATAAGGGAGTTCTGCTTGTGGACTACCTCCAACAGGGTTCAACCATCAATGCAAGATATTACTGTGCTTTATTGACAAAGTTGAGGCAAAACCTCAAGGAAAAACATCGAGGAAAGCTCTCCAAAGTTGTCATCCTGTTGCATGACAACCTTGTCACACACTGCAGGTGAAACAATGGCAAAACTGACCTCCTTAGGCTTTCAAGTGATGCCCCATCCACCCTGTTCTCCCGACCTGGCTCCTTCTATTGTCTGTTCCCCAAATTCAAAAAACACTTAAACGTACAACAATTTGGGAGTGTTCTGGAGGCAACTAATGCTGAGTGGTTACACCTGCAGTCAGAATAATTTTATTTGCAGGGACTTAAGAAGCTGCAGGACAGATGTGGCCAGTGCATTGACTTCGCGGGGGAATATGTAGAATAGTGTGGCAGTTACAGCTTCCTGGCTCAATTTTATCTGGGAAAGGCTCAATACTTATCAGCACCCCCTTGTAGACTGAGGCATCTACAGTCACTTTCCTGCTGTGTGATGATGCTCATTGGATGACCTCTGGCCAGTCACTCATCTCACAGGTCTCACCAGCCTCCCAGGGCTCTTTTGAAATGAAAGGAATGGGGAGAACAGTGACCCCAAATACAAAGTGAGACAGTAATCAGGAAATATATGTTTTCTTTATACCTAGTGTGGTGTAGTAGATAAGGTGATGGACTAGGACTGAGGTGGTGGCAAGCGGATCATGCGCTGCAGAGCCATTTGTAGAATCACACCGTCCATGTCCGCGTCAGATCGGTGAGTGGACCATCCGGCCCCATGGGGCTGGATCCTTGTTAACACCCGCCTGTGCAAGGATATTTATATTTGTATACCCCCATCTCTAGTGGTGATTCTCAATGGGACAGGGAGATTTTCAGTAATTAAAGAGATCCTCCTTCTGTCCTGTGACTTTTTCAATTTGTGAGTAATCTAGTTCCTCATGCATAAGCCATGGAATCTATAGAACGGAGGGAGGAAGTCCTTAGCTCGCTGAAACCTTTCCCGGCCAGTTTTGTAATTTAGCAGCACAAATCTTCAAAAATTAAACATTGACACCTTTAAGTTTCACAGAAATAAGATAAATATTACCTAGTAATATCTGCATCTTCATTGCTACACAACTACAGGTGTGATTAAAAAACTGGCAATCATAATAAAATTCTGTAGTTAACAAATGTCCTGCAGCCTATTTGATTATATTTTTTAAAAAATATTAATTTAACAAGGATCTTTGAATTTTATTAATTAAAAACCCTACAAAAATACCTTGTTCTTTATCTTCAAATATGTTTGCTCAGTGGGAACAAAAATCACAGTTTCAATTCATTTAAAAGTACAAGCATTCACAAACCACAATTGAGACATAGGACACATGATTAACAGGAAGACACAAAAACAGAGAGAGATTATTATCATAGCAGAGCTTTGAAAAACATTATTTTTGGACTATAAATCATAGGATTCCCACCCCAGGATTACAGCATCTGTAATTCAAAACAAGGTAAAAATTCCAAGCTCTGCCAGCAAGCTCCAAATTTTACATCTCATTTTCATGCATATAGTGGATAACAAGCAAGAACTAGCAGATGTTTTTACATTGGCCAATCTTTTCCTGCAAAATTCCAGGTGCAAGAACAAATTCTGAGGATTGACCTCAGAATTAATTGTCAATCCTGGAGGGGGGAAAAACATTTCAAAAGGTTTTATTATTATTATTTTCAAACTTTTTCTTTCCTGGGATTTTTTTTATCATCTTTTCAATCTTCCCTCCAGAGAGAGCATGTTTCATAGAAACCAGGAGAAGTTAATTCCCTCTTAATTTTATCAGACAGCACATGCGATTCCCAAAGCTGACCTTCCTCAGTCTGGTGCCTTGTGGATGGTTGCACAGTAACTCCCATAACCCCTAGGTGAGGAAGGCTGCCCCTACTCTGAAGAAAGGAGTAGAATAGAGACAGGACTCTAGGACTCAGCCCTAATAGGGACTTTGTGGTGCAAGTGGAGGGGCTCTTGTTCGGATATTATGGGATAAGGTGTCCCCTGTTTTAACCACAAGCCACTTCTGGCCTAATAGGTTTATGGGTTCTTTTGCACCCTGGCGGTTTCCTTTTCCCTTTGCCACTTCCAGGATCATTAAGCCTCTATGTCAAACATGGCAGAAGTGTAAACATGGTTTTGGAGCTATAAAAACGCCTTTCCCACCTCCCGTTTCTGTTTTGCTCTCCTGCTCACACACGTGAGGTTCCCACTGCTGAGGAGGTGTGCTGGCTCTCCATGGGCAGACAGTGCAGATAAATGGAAACCCCCCCCAGCACCCGTGTGTTTGTACTGTGAGCTTTGACCTATGCAGGATCAAGGGTAATGCTTTGAAGGCAAGTCGAAGCTGGTACGATTTCTCCAAACGGCAAGCTGAGTTCAAAGACAAAGTCCTGTCAAGAGGTCCTTTTGGGGCAATGCTGCCAAATTGTAGCCGTTTCTCTGAACAATCGCTTGGTGAGGCTTTGCCATCCCGTCGCTCACTGTCTTTGTCCTCCATTACTCAGAACCTGTTCTCACAGCATTAACAAAGAATATCTTGATAACCTTTTTCCCCCCAAAAGGAGATGCAGATGTCAAGAATATTAAGAAGACTCCGTTAACAAGCAGATTGCACTGTCTTTGTATTTCGGCCTTAGTGCAAAGACAGGAGAAGCACCCGTATTGGACATCCGAAAGATGCATTGCTCCAAACCAAAAAAATTTCCTTCCAGAGTGCAGGCTCTGTATCATTTTTTTCCCTTCATCACTTTAATTAAAACAAAAAAACAAAATGTTTTGCTAGAGGTACCAACTTGGATCCACAGGTACCTCACTCTGGTTCAAGGCTCTTTCCCGAAGCTTCAGTTCCAGGCATTCCACAGTGGGCGGATATGTTCCAAGTTCAAATTTATTAGCAAACAGGCTTTTGAGCCCGAGCAGCCACTTCAGATCACCAGTTCCATAGATACAAATACTCCTGACATAATGACCTGCCAAGAAATAAAATGTCAAGATCATCATTTTTTTTTTAAAAAAAAAAAGCATTTTAGGGACAGGACAAGAACTGCCAGACCTTTGTCACAAAGGCTCCTTAGGTGGACAAAGGACTGAGGGTAAGTGAAAATCCCACTTCTTCAGTTAAGGCTCCTTAGGTGGACAAAGGACTGAGGTTAAGTGAAAATCCCACTTCTTCAGTCCTTCCCCACCCATTGTCATGGGTCGTTAACAGTCATTAACAGTGGTATTTCTGGTGCCTATGATCCTAATCTGGGTCGTTAACAGTCATTAACAGTGGTATCTCTGGTGCCTATGTTCCTGGGGACAGATGAATAAATAGGAGACAGATTGTATCTAAGGCATCCACCCCTGCTGAGTGAAGGAATTTTCTATATGCACATGTATGGCTTTCATCACCACTTTCTCAAACCACCTATCTTCTGAGTCCAAAATGATTATATCAAATAAGTGTCCTTTGCTCCAAAATGAGGACATCTTGGTCATCAAATAAGTGCCCTTTATCCTTCTAATGAAGGAAGGCTGCTGATTGTGGTCCTGAGCCCTTGCCTCTCCTGTGCTGGGCCACTCTCCTGTTTAGTGGCTGTTTGGTTTCTCCAGTGTAGAGCTCCGAACACTCCTCTTTGCATTGGACCGCATAGACTATAGTGCTCCTGGTGTGTTTTAGTGTCCAGTCTTTTGGGTGGACGAGTCTTGGTCTTAAGTGTGTTTGTGGGTTTGAAGTGCATGGGTATGTGGCTTTTACCAAAAATCCTTTAGAACTCTGAATGAGTAGTGAAACGTTTCAACCTAATAAAGAAGTCCAATTGCCATGACTCAACTTCCAGATAACCTCACCTGGATGACTGAGAATCTTCACAGGTATAAAACAGGAACATCCAAAGTGAAGAGACAGAACATCAACCTCCCCCCCCCACGCAAATATGCCTTACCTCCATTTGCACCTCAAGAAGTGATGACATGCACTGGAGAAACTGAAAACACAATTTCTGATGGATGGGGAACTCTCTTATCAGAATTTGAAAAGTAACTATTTCGAAGGAATGCAAACAATGGCCAAACCCTTTCGTGCAACTCTGTGTGTGCAACTCAAGCTTGTACATGTGGCAGCTATGCTAGTGGCAAGGTGGAAGTCTAAGTCCCTTCAGCCACGCATTGTGTAATGGGTTGTGTCAGGGATGCAACTCCCTGTTGCCAGTCATTACATCCTACACATTTATGCTGGTGTAAATTTATATTATGCTGGCATGAACAGGATACTGGTTAATACAGTTTTAAATTACAGCTATAGAAAATGATTTTAATTTATTAGGTAAAAGGTAAAGGTAAAGGTTCCCCTTGACAGTTTTTGTCCAGTCGTGTCCGACTCTAGGGGGCGGCGCTCATCCCGCTCTTCAAGCCACAGAGCCAGCGTTTTTGTCCGAAGACAATCTTTCCGTGGTCACATGGCCAGTGTGATTTAGACACGGAACACTGTTACCTTCCCACCGAGGTGGTCCCTATTAATCTACTCGCATTTGCATGCTTTCGAACCGCTAGGTTGGCGGGAGCTGGGACAAGCGACGGGTGCTCATTCCGTTGCGTGGATTCGATCTTACGACTGCCGGATCTTCTGACCCTGCAGCACAGGCTTCTGTGGTTTAGCCCACAGCGCCACCACGTCCCTTTTAATTTATTAAATACTGCGTATTTAATAATGGAAGGGATTGTCACTCTTGAATTGGCCTTCTCAGCCACACTAGATGCTGTTCCAAGTCCTCTATTCAGAGCACTCTACCATAGTCTCTCGAGACTGAAGGATGCCTCATCTCGTTAAATACTATGCACATCAAAAGTTACAAGCATTGGCTGTATCCCATGATGTATTTCTGCTGCACTCTGCTTTTTCCACCAGAATTCTGAGTGCTCCACCCACTCACCTTTCAGCATCATATAAACCTGCTCCAATAGGCTGGGAAAGAAAAAGAGAGGAAGGAGTAGTGTTCGCATTACTTCTGTCATTTCCAGGTATGTGCATTGCAGATTCACAAATGAAACAAGTCCATTTCCAAACCTTTTTGAAATCACTATAAAACCAAAGGGAAAATAGGCCTAGTACAGTTCAAGATGACAGGACACAAGGCCATCAGCAGGAAGAGTTGGTGCTAGAAAACAAAATATCAGATGAATGTGCAATTTACCATGACATCCTCCATGAGCCTTCTCTGAATTACTCCACTTGACAGCTCTCAGGTCACCTTCCCATGTGGCATTTGGCATGGAACCAGGGACACCTGGGATTTGAAAAGAGAATGCAAGAGAAAAATAAGTCTTATTTCTCCAATCAGGATATTAATCACCTGCTTTTCTCCCAGTGAACTCATGGGATCACATATGGCTCACCACCCCCTCCCTCTCTTATCCTCAGAACAACAATCCTACAGAGTTGATCAGGTCAAAAGAGATGAAATGACTCATGGCCAACCAAGTAAGATTCATGCCTGAATAGGAACCAGACCTCTTGCTCTCCTAAGTCCTAGACCAACATTCTAACTTCTGCCATACAGCTTATTCTTACAATGTCAGAGGAATTATTTAAAAGATTAACATTGTTGGCATATGTGGGAGATTTTCTAATCATTTCAGTTTCTTGCAGAGGCGATGAACTTTGTCTGAAATCCTGAAAGCCACCTCCCCCCTCCACCAATTTAAAAAGAAAATGTTGGCTTTGAAAACTTATTTCTTAAATCACCAGTTGTACAATCAGCATCTGCATCATCAACAAAACATGAAAGTCCTGCAAGACAGTGAACATTATAACACTCTAGGCAAAACTACCTGCTTCCTGTCCTCATGCTGGTGTTATGCGGTGGAAGCTGAGGTGGGGAAGAGGAACCCATAACAAACAGTGCTGATGAGTGGAAATTAACAGAACCCTTTAGTATTGTTAGGAAGTGGCTCAAACACTGTTCCTGTTCACAGGCTATTCCCCCTCATTTCCTAGATGATTACAGCTGAAAAGTACTGTGCCAAGTTCTCCTAAAACAAAGATAGTTTATCAGACCACTATAAGCACAAAAGCAGGTGAGCTTTCAAGACCTGTGGGGGGGGAGGAAAGTTCAAAATTCATCCTGGCCAGATGTTAAGTTACCAAGGCCCCCCATTTTAAGTTATGTCCCAAAATGCAACCTGGAAATTAGAAAAAAAACAGCCAGAAGTGTCAGGTTTGACCTCTGAGGACACAAAATTGCTTTAATCCATATTTCTATACCTGTGGTTCCCCAATCACAATGCAAAGAAACATCGGTATGCGATCGCAAAATCCACATTGCTATGCGGATTCATCGTTAAACGGTGCACTCGTTATACGAGGCACCACTGTAGACTCTACTGAGCCAACTTCCTGTTGTCTTTCCACCAGGGTGCATAGAGATTTTTATTAGAGTAGGTTTCTATCAAATGAATGGTTGCAGAGAAAGGCACACTTAATTTTTTTATTTATGTGCTTTCAAATGTCTTTTTTATTCAGTGAGCTTCAATTCACTTCTGGCAAAGCAGGCTTTGATCCCTGGAAACCTATGCCACAATAAGCATGTTAGATCTGAACACTTCCCATCAGCATTCCGCATCAGCATTGTCACACTGGACTGTTCAAGTATGTGATCCCTTTGTTGTGCAACTCTATACACATGGTACAACTGTGCACTTGCACAACAGTGTGATTGCAATTTATACAATAACATGATCATGGTGTGCCTACACACTTCTCCAAACTGAAAAACAAAAGATATAAATGGTCTTAAATGTGAAAGGGGTGGGCATGATGCTTTGGAGAGCTCCCTCCAGAGAAACCATGGACATGTTGATACAGGTCAATAAGTGCAATACGACAGATTTACAATCATTAATACTCATATTAGTATAACCTTCTGCAACAAAGCTGTAACTGCAATCTGTGTTCAACAAATGTAGCTGTCTCTTAAGACCTTCCTTCCGTAGGTGGAAGCAGATGGCTTGTGCTTCCTGATACCAAGCATCGACTAGTAACAACAACTATACTTGCCAATACCGGCGAGATCAAGAACACAGGAACATATATGCAAGTGTCCTACAAGCAGGCACTGAACTGTGCCTAGAATGGTGCTTCCAGTTGGTTTCCTGTGTATCCGAAGGAATTCAAACAATCTCTTTAATGTGCAGCAATTCTTTAGGCTTCTTCGGGAAATTCTCTGCCATCACAATAACATCAGACAAGCATTCCGTGGTGAATTTCTTGGCCATGCAGCATTACTCATTGCAAACAATGAATCACAGCCCCCCCAGGTGGGAAAATTAGCATGGTGGTGCAATTTCATAAGCAATTTCTAAGTATTTAACGGACCCATCATTTACTAAGTACTGTGGCAAAACATATGCATATGCAGGGTCAGCCTCAGCCCTGTGGAGATTCTGGGCAAAATGTCTGAGTAGACTCCCTACATATTGAATCTCCAGTAGGCAGTGCTGACTAAAACTGCCCATTGGGCCTGGGCAGCTGGACTCCATGGCATTTCCATTCCTATTTCCTTGAGTATAAAAATGATGGTGTGGGTGAATCCAGCAGTGTAGGCACAAATAGTTCTTATATCAGCAGTGCAAGCAAGATGCTCCTTCATGCAGCTGGTCCAGCAGCATCACTGATAGGATTATTGGCTGGAGCATGTGAACAAATAAGTCCTGGCTTTAGCCCAAGAATGCTGTGTGTAGCATGGTGTTTGCTCAAGAGCAAAGTAAAGAGCAAAGTATTCATCAGTTGAACTGGAAAGTCAGACGGGAGAAAATAAATCACTTGCAATCATTGAGGCTCCTTCCATGAAAGAGAAGTCCACTATCAATACTGTACATTATTGTTTACTGGACCAGAGATTAACTTGTTTGTACTCGTGGAAGAAAATTTTTGCATAACCAGTCCATGAAAGAGAAGTCCACTATCAATACAGTACATTATTGTTTACTGGATCAGAGATTAACTTGTTTGTACTTGTGGAAGAAAATTTTTGCATAACCAGAAGTGTGGTTGCATTCAGAATACAATCATCAGCAAACAATAGCTCATGTAGTGGGCAAAATGAGACTTTAGTTACAGCATGCAGTTGCCACAGATTGACACTTCCATCAGTGCAATATCGAAGGTCCAGACCAGGATAATCTTCCCTGGAAGTGTCCCAGAGAATCGCAGGAAACATAAGACTGGAAAGAGCTGGAGCAAGAAAATAGCCTTGTTTTACACTGTTTGTGATGGGAAAGGGATCAGAGACGATGCTATTATTGATATCATGAACTTGCCACCCATCATGGAATTCTCAAATGGTATACAGTATGTGAATTTCTCAGGAAATCCACGTTTTCCCATGCTTTTCTACAAATCTTCTCTGCACACCATATCAAAAGCTTTAGTGAATGTTGTGCAGAGGTCAAGATTACCTTGCTAACTAATTTCACATGGCCTGTTCAATGCATTGTGAAAATGTTCAGCTTATATTTGCAAAATCTGTGACTTCTCCTTGATGGGGAGCTGAGGGGGGCCTGCCTGCCCGCCCACCCACTCAGCCTCCCTTATTTATAGGCGACCTTTCTCCCAAGAAGGGGACTCAAGGCAGCTCACAGTATTAAAAAGAATGGAATTAAAAACACAGTTAAGTTATACATTAAAAACAATTAAGTTATAAAGCATAAAAATACCTTGAATAACTAAAAACGTATAAAATGTTAAAAAATGATCTTAACTAAACAATGGCATTCAGGAACTCAGTCATGACTGTTAAAAGTCTGCCTGAAAAGGTGGATCTTCAGCTGTCGGCAGAAGGATGAAGGGGAGAGGGCCAAGCTAATCTCCTTTCCTCATGTCCCTCTCAACCTTGTCTCCACTGGTTCCAAGAGAAGGTTCTCCTCTGATGATCCTAAGTGCCCAGAAGGCTTGGAGATATGATATGCCCATTTGGGGACCACAAATGGTGTCAACTGCTTTGAAGAATTCCTTTGCTTCTTTATGGTCAACACAGTTGTGAATCTCAACTGAAGTTGGAGAGGAAGTTGAAAAGCGCTGCAATTCATGACAGAATCGTGGTCCTCAAAGCACATATGAGGGCTCCATATAAGGAAGATTTGCTCCACATTCCTCAGTCCTATAAAATATTCCACATGAACCAGCTGGTATAGCAGCTAAGAGTGAATAAATATTCCTGGAGGTTTCCATGATTTGCAACCTATTTTATTTTTTCTGGAAAAAGAGGAGGTGAGGTCTGGCTGGGGCTGAAAAAGGCTGCATTTTGGCCACTTCTGCTTTAACTGGATTGAAATCTCTTGCAACCTGGAGGAATTCATGTTTGTTTGTTAGTTTGATTCAACTACTTCTTGTTTTGTTTTACTATCAGCCAGGTTCCTGCCAGCACCCCCACCCCCAGCTCATTCTATTATCAGTTGATAACATTTGCAGGAAGAATGTAAAGAGCACTGGAAAGAGAGAGAGAGAACACGTTGTTCCCAAAAAACTGAGGAACTAGCTTAATTCTTCATTCTTGTCAATTTTTCAAACTTAGTTGTAGCTTTAAAAATAAGAAAAACATTTTTTTTTCATGCTTGGCAAACAGTGTGTGTAGCAGGTGAAAGAAGAAAATCCCCATCTAACTAGATAGGCACAAACCTCTGCTTTGCAGTTTGGCAGCACAGATTCTTCTAAGGGTGTCCTGGCTTCCTAGCCCTGCCTCCTCTGATGGGTGCACAGAGGCAGTGTCACAGCTTCTAAGAGGGCAACCCCAGAAGTAGCTGGATTAACCAAAGAGAGAGCTGAAGTCAGTCATTTCATAGGTGTTTTGAGTCGGCCGCTGAGTGCAAAGGTAAAGGCTGTATCATATATCTGAACGGAAAATTTGTGCGGCTTTTTTCTACACGGATCTGACTTTTTAATGTCATAAGCGCATTATTTGCTATTTTGTGATACTGTGAGCTCAAACAATAAGTACATTGTGAACTGTGAATTATATTGCTGTTTATTTATTTTCAGCCCATACTTTTAAAGTCACACACTAGTACTTTCATTAATTTACTAGGGGGATGTTTTTTTAAAGTTATCTGCATTGTGATACTGTGAGCTCAAACAATAAGTACTGTACATTGTGAACTGTGAATTATATTCCTGTTTATTTATTTTCAGCCCATACTTTTAAAGTCACACACTAGTACTTTCATTAATTTACTAGGGGGATGTTTTTTTAAAGTTATCTGCATGCTTTCTAAATCACATCTAGTAGAAGAA